CACCGAGGCCCAGGTGTTGCTGTCGGGGTCCCAGCGCTCCACGCTGCTCTCGTGCCGCCGGTAGCTGATGCCCTGACGCATGTGTGTCGCGATGCCGCCCACCACGTACACCTTCTGCTCCAGAACCGCCACGCCGAACTCGTAGCGGGGCACGGTGAGCGGAGCCAGGCCGATCCACGAGTCCGTCTGCGGGAAGTACATCTCCATACTGACACACACACACACATTTAATTTAATATTCAACAATATTATTGATCTGCCTGCATTGACATCATTATATGAGAACTGAACTGGATGATGATATATATATATATAAATTAACTAAATTTACAACAAAAACGAACCATCACTGAGCTGGACTGTGACGCTATTTTCTTTGTACACTGAAACACTCTGTGTTGTATAAATAAAGGTGACTTGACTAGAACTCGTTAATATAAACGCTCCAGAACGCTTAATTAAACATGTCAAACCTTTCCAGCGTGGCGAATAACCCGGCTTTGCCCCCGACCGCCAGCAGGACCTTGGGAGCGCAGCGCGGCCGCGTGGACAGCACCGTCTGGTACGAGAGCCGGTGTTCGGGCATGAAGTGGTACTTGAGCGCCTCGTTGAGCAGGTGTTTGCAGGTGTGGTCGTCGCGGATCAGGTGATTAGCCTCGTAGAGCCGCGTGAGGAACTTGACGCTCAGCAGCGGCAGCCGGACGCAGTGCAGGAGCTGCGCCAGATACTGCTGTCGCTCCGTCAGGTCGTACTTGATCCAGGACTCCAGCGCGAAGAACACCGCCTCCTCCGTCACCACGTTCAGGCAGTCGTTGGACACGATCTCGTCGAGCTCGGCCCGCGTCAGCTCGAAGAACTCCTCCGTCTGGCACACCTCCTCGAAGTTCTGGCAGATGAACTTGCTGGCCGCCAGGCACAGGTCGTGGCAGCCGTATGTTTCGGCGAAGCGCGAGATGCCGATGCAGTTGCCGGCGTCGAGCTGGCTCTCCAGGAAACTGCAGCACTCCTTCAGAACCAGCTTGACCTGCAGGAGGTTAGCGGCGGGGAGGAGCGACTCCACCGTCTCCTGCGAGATGAACACCGTTCCTGTGTAGGCGTACTCCACTATGGCCTGATGGAGACACGGAAACATCGCGGCTAATTCATCTTGTGCGTCAATTACAACAAGTTACACAAAGGGCCGTAGTGGACAAAAATGTCTGAGTCATGAAAATGTGAAGCTTGGGGGCACAGACTTAAAGGGATACTCCACTTTTTTTGGAAATAGAGTTAAACAGTTGGGTTTTACCGTTTTCGAATGTATTCAGCCGATTTTTTGATATTTAGAAGAATATCAGTAACCAGAAAGTTTCTGGTCTCATTGACTTCCATAGTATATTTTTTTTCCTACTATGGAAGTCAATGAGACCAGAAACGGTCTGGTTACTGATATTCTTCTAAATATCAAAAAATCGGCTGAATACATTCGAAAACGGTAAAACTCAACTGTTTAACTCTGGGGGAGTGGTAAAATGAGCCTATTTCCAAAAAAAAGTGGAGTATACCTTTAAGTTTGGTCTCATTTTAAAGAAGACACTTGCCAGAGTTCAAAAACCAAAAAAAGTTAGTTTATGAAAATGAGTTGTAAATGTAACATGATGACCTCCGCACCGCACTGTGTCTATCTATGCTTTTTGTAACTGTGTAGTGAGTTAGTTTGGGCGCAGTCCCAGATTTGGGATTTGCAGAAAGTTTTTCTCTCTCAAATAATGCAAGCACAATTTTTTTATTACACACAAACAAACCACACTGGCATCCATACCAACACATCCGAACAATTACAACTGCATCATTTATTCAATTGTCTCTATAATACGCAGAAGCAGAAAACAGGAATAAAGCGAGTTTTTTCTATACAGGCCAAACCTGAGAAAATGGCGGCATCTGGTAAAACACCATTATTATTTATTTATTTTTATTTTTTGAAGGTTTGCTAACAGAATGAAAGCCTGTAAACAAAGATTGCATCATTTTATAGTTAAACGGCCGTGGGATTAAAAATTGATGTTTTAATGGGGACATTTTTGTCTTTAAGGTCCTGAGAGGAACTATTTTGTGTCACTAGTGTAAAATAGATTTATTAAAGGAAATGGAGATGAAATATTAAAATTCCAACAAAAATACACACCTGTACCAAAATGCATGAAGTTGGCATTAACACAGGCGACATGACAAATAAAATAGAAAAGAATAAGACAGAAATATCAATAAGGGTTAACTAAAATGCTTCATCAAGAAGTTTCGTGGGAAATCATGTGTTATTTAAAGGCCCCTTTGCACAAGATGTCAAATAAATCTCTGATGTCCCCAGAGTGTGTATGTGAAGTTTTAGCTCAAAACACCCAAAGATATCTTTATATAGCATGTTAAAATGTTTTGAGGGTGAGCAAAAACGCATTATTTTTGTGTGTGTCTCTTTAAATGCAAATGCTCTGCTGCTCCCGGCACAGGGGGCGGAGCAACAAGAGCTCCTGTGTGTGTGTGTGTGTGTGTGAACAGCCTTTTATGTTCAAACCGGAGTCAGACAAAGACGGAGAGACTCTAGAAGTGACAGCATGAAGAAGTGAGTGGTTAGCTGATGAATTTATGTCGCTGATGTTGCATTTCCTATTAATCTCATTCCCGGGGGTGGAGTTTATGCTAATTATAGGGTTTGTGATGTCACTAACCCGGAAGGAAGTTTGTGTAGTCCCTACCAGCTGTTTGCTGTCGTCCTTTAAAAGCAATTTCTGTAAAAGATAAATTCTCCCTTTGCTTTGAACTTTGAGCGTCGTAACTTTGTCGTTTATGCTCAAAACCGCGACATTACACGCTAACTACAGAAAAGTGAGATAATAATCAAGCTGTGCTCACCTTGAGCGCGGCTTCATCGACGCACTGGAACTCCACCTCTGACGTCTCCTTCTCCGACAGGTTTCCCGTGAACATGGCCTTGAAGTACGGGCTAATGCTGGCTAGCACCACCTTGTGCGCGTGGATCTTGGCGTCTCCGACCCGCAGCACGATGTCGCAGAGCTCATGGTCCTGTCGCAGGAGTTGCAGACCCTGCAGGAGCTGCTCGGAGTGAGGCCGCGTCAGACTCGCAAACATGTATGACTTCGCCGACTGCTCCATCTGACAAACACACACAAGATTACACACGTAATTTTGACATATTATCTCATAACATTTTTTTACCTTACTTTTTTCATCATTTCGATTTTATCATTTTATTGACTTTATATGTCATAATTTAACTTTTAACATCCCTTTGACACAATTTAGTTTCTTTTATCTCAATATGTCATAACTATGAATGTCATCATTTTGATTCTGTCATATATAGGCTACATTTGATTCTGTCATAAACATTTTACGTCATAGCTCTGACTGTCTCTCATGACTCATTATTTCGCCTTTGCATGTCATAATATCGACTTTCTGTTATAACGTTTTCATTTTCTATCATAGTTATGAGTTGTCAAAGCATGATTTTTATCTTATGCTTCCCTATGAAGACAAACACGCGCTCTTTCTAGGCAGCATTAGCTTCGACACACACACACACACAGCCGTTCAGATTTCCGAACAGCAAGACTCATATCAGGTGTGTTCAGTGATAACACCAGAGTCATTACACTCATCCTCACATATGAAAATCATCTTCATCTGACATGAATCAGCTGATATGAATAAATAAAGCTGCTCATTCTATGCTAACATTAGCATCTGCATTAAAAGCTCAGCACAGCGGCGTTTAACGCTCATTAACACCGTCCTCTGGTTTATTTAATGCTGTAAAGTGCAGTAATAAAGCGTTTATTCAGTGTTTACCTGCATGTCTGCTGATTTCTGGCAGTTTGAAGCGCAACACGGCCGCGACTGTCAGGAAAACAAACACAAATCAGCGCATGCGTCACTTCCGGGAAATCAAGGAGCAGAGCAAAATAAAACCGCGACGGACCATCCTCCAAATATCGCCTGCTCCTTTAAATAAGAGCTTGTTTTCAAAAAATCTTGTGAATATCAGTTGCAGAAAATTTTGTTTGTGTGTGTGTGTGTGTGTGTGTGTGTGTGTGTGTGTTGCCCTGGAGCTGCTCTCTGATGCGACACTGATGTAAGTTAGCTAAAAATAGACCTGAATGAGAGACAGAGAGGGAATCATTGACACACCCAATAACCCCATTGCAGCTCACATGCACACACTCATACACTGCTCTTATTGTACACTCATACACACCTTACTGTACAGTCAAATACGGCTCTTACTGTACATACACATCTCTCACTGTACACTCATACACTGCTCTTAGTGTACACTTATACACACCTTACTGTACACTCATATACTCACTGTTATTACTGTACTGTCCACCCATATACTCTTCTTACTGTACACTTATACACACCTCAAGTATGAATGTAATAGTGACCTAGTTTTGATTTAAAATGACTAAAAAGTATGCTTTCATAGTATCCCAGCAAACACAGAACGTTCCCCTAACGTTCCCGAATGGTCTGATGAGGATATTTTTTTGGGAACCAAACAAGAACGTTATAGGAACGTTCCATGTAGGTTATTTTTAGGTTCCATTTTTATAACGTTAGGAGAATGTTCCGGGAACGTTCCCTTAACCTTAAGGGAAAGTTCTAGGAACGTTCTGGGAACCAAAAGCTAACGTTCCCAGAACCTAAATTTGTTTGCTGGGATGTAGATTTCCATTTGTAGATACATTTACACTAGAGCTCGCCTCAGTCTGCAACATGGAAATGGAAAGTTGCAAAAACCTCTTAGATTTCAGCGTCGGTCCACTAGACTCACAGCAATCCCTTCACTTTTCAACTAGTTTGGGTCAGGGGTGTTTATGAAAACGTCATCACGTTCTCTTGTGTTGAATTTGTGAAGTAACTAATAACTAAAAACTAATAATAAATCGACGGGAGATGCCCGTTTCCATGGAGACCGGCGCGCGCACTGTAAACAAACCGACACTACACACACCGCCGCCGGACAGCGAGAAGTTCGCAGTGTGTGTGAGACTCGTTTACTGTAATATGGCTTTAGTTGTGTTTATTTGCGGCTTAATAAATTCGACATGTTCTCGTTCTGAGTAATTTGATCATATTTCACTTGAATACCGCTGACACAACTGCTGTAAATGTGTGTGAATGTCGTGTTGTAGAAGCTCGGTGAGATGGAGGATATACATCAGACTGTCACGGTGAGGAAACACACACACACACACACACACACTCTCTCTCTCTCTCTCTCTCTCTCTCTCTCTCTCTCTCTCTCTCTCTCTCAAACACACACACACACTCACTCTCACACACACTGTCATTGGTGTGTGTTCAGGACGCAGAGGATCAGAAGGGGGACACTGGCTCTCCAGCAGAGAAGCTGCTCTTAGATCAAGGTTTGACATTCATCAGGAATCATGAACTGTCAATCACACGATAATACCGCTATGAAAGATGTATGAGTGACAGCCAGTGAACAGTAACTACAGCAGTGACACTCACAGGCCTGAATGAACTGTAAACTATATTCCAGATGTACAGCACACACAGATGTAAATAAAGCGATCAGTTGCTGTGTGATGATGATGATGATGATGATGATGATGATGTTGCAGTGTGTGTGGACTGTATGGACATCACGAAGGGTACTTTGGAGAACATCTCTCGCCCGGCCTCCGGTGCAGCTCCTCTCTCTCTCTCTGAGATCAGGAGAACGAGTCGAGAGCGTCCCGGATCTCTGGAGCTGCTCAGCCCGGACCTCACACACACACAGGTGCAACACACACACACACACACACACACACACACACACACAGTTGGACCTCACACACAGCACAGGTGGGGCTTTAACACACACACACATACGCAGAGGTGAAGTGTGTGTGTGTCCTGTAACAGTAATGTGTGTGTGTGTGTGTGTGTGTGTGTCCTGTAACAGGCTCAGGGCAGCGCAGCAGGACCCGGCTCTGACCGAGGTACAGTATCAGCTGTTCTTCATCCTCCCTCGGGTCAGTCGTTCTGATCCGGGACTCGTGTCGCACTTCAACCACAAAAATGTAATGGATTGGAGGAGGTCAATTTGCATAAAAATGCATAAAAATGCTCAAAATTCAAACTAAAAATGGTAAAAGTGTACCAAAAACAGATTTTATAATGTCTACACGTGTGTGTGAATGCACACAAAGACTCCCGATGTGAGATATTTAGAGCTGAATTAAAAGAGTTATGCATGATTTGTGAGTTATTTTGAATATACGTCACGCAGTGAGGAATGTGATTCAATTATTATTTATTTATTATTCATGTAAATAAAATTTAAAAAAAGAACCAAAAATCTCACAAAAAATAATGTATTATATATATATATATATATATTAAATATCTCCGGACAAAAAAAGTATAATTTTATGTCTTCGGGTCATTTTGGACCACGAGGGAATGATGAAGGTCCGATTCTCCCACAGACGAGTCCGATGAGGAGGACGAAGATCCGGAGCTGGGAGAGGCCATCCGGAAAATGAGGAGACTGGACCGGATTCTGGCTCTCAAGGCGTCAGCGGAGAGAGAGGTGAAGCAGAGGACCCGAGAGCAGCAGCAGAGACTCTGGGGCGAGCTACAGGTGCGTCTCACACACACACACACACACACATGCTTCATTCTTGTGTAATTGTGCCTCGTGTTTCAGGCTGTGAGTCTCAGGATGAGCCGCTACGAGATGGAAAACACCAGACGCTTCCTGGCTCTGACACCCGACCCCTGTGAGCGACCCACACACACACACACACACACACCGTAATCATCAGACATGTTTGTTGATCATCAGATCCTCATATTAGAGTGATTTCTGAAGGGTCATGTGACTCTGAAGACTGGAGTAATGACTGATTTGATCACAGGAATAAATTACACTTTACTGTATAATCACATAGAGAACAGATGATTTACATTATAATCATATTTCACGATATTACAGTTATTTGTTTACAGTCTTGGTGAGCAGAAGAGACTTCTTAAAAACACAAATCGTACTGATACAGAACGTTTGACTGGAAGTGTACATGTAAAAAAAAAATCCTAATCAACAAATAATATTGAGGTGTGCTAATGAATGTGTGCCTCAGCTCAGGAGTGTGAGGATGAGGAGTTCGTCCCCGTGTTCGAGACGGAGGTTCTGGATCTGCAGCGCGACACACACACCAGACACGACACGGGCGGTAACGCATCAAAACACAAACCTCACACACACTTCTTCATCTCACTCCTCAGTGAAGTCCATGTTATGGATAAAGTGCTTTTTTTATTATATTTTATTACATATGCTGCATTGTGACATTAGATTCCCAACAAATTCTGAAGGCAAACTCTGCATTATCTGAGTTATGAAGTATGATTGTAAGTTTATATCATCGAAATCTGATCTGGATGTAATTATTGTTCATGGCTGTGTTACTGTGAGAGCACACTAGAGGGCGTGCTGATGTCATCAGTGATCATCATGTGACAGCTGTGTGTTTTATTTATGTTTTACACTTTAACTTGTGTGTGTGTGTGTGTGTGTGTGTGAACAGAGCGCACACAGCTGGAGTGTGTGGGTCAGCAGGCGGCGGATGCTCAGGCTCCAGACGGCAGACGGGACAGCAAGCGCACACAAGACTTCGTCCAGAGGAATATTGAGGTGTGTGTGTGTGTGTGATGCTGACAGGCGGCGGCCTCGGGGGGAGGGGCTTCCGACTCCTGCAAGGCGTTTGATTGGACAGAAATGCACCCAGTGCAAGATGATGTCATCAAGAGTTTTGGTCTGTTTTCACGAGTCACGAACCAGATGACCCCACTGGCAGATATTTAGTAAAAGCACAAGTTTTAGTCATAAACTCTCTTCATTTTCTCTTCAGATCTTCATTCGGCTTCTCCAGTAACTGTGTTTTGAGTTCAGAATGTTTAGATGTTTGTGATGGAAAATGAAACATGTTACTCAAAAAGCTAATGTTTGATGATCTGATTGGTGTGTGTGTGTGTGTGTGTGTCCAGCTTGCAGGAGCGTCGGGCAACTCAGTCCTGCTCACACAACAGGAGAGAGAGAGAATAGAGGAACTACTGAGAGATCTGGAGGAAGAACAGAGTGATCCTGAACTACTGACTGAACCTCAGGTACACACACACACACACACACACACACACAATAGGAGAGAGAGAGAGAGAATAGAGGAACTAAGAAGAGTTAATGTCAAGCAAGAGGACTGGGACTTATCTCACAGTCCTGATCCGTCTCCTTGCACGTCCGAGTCCAGATCTGACCTCAGCTGAAACTAATATATTATATAGACTCATTACATGCAGAGTCTGATATTTCAAGCCTTAATTTGTTATAATTTTGATGATTATGGATTACAGATATGAATAACTTTTCACAATATTCTAATATTGAATTTGGGGTTTTCATATCTGTAATCCATAATCATCAACATTATAACAAATAAAGGCTTGAAATATCTCACTTTGCATGTAATGAGTCATATAATATATTAGTTTCAGCTTTAAATAAATGAACTTTTGCAGGATATTCTCATTTTCCGAGTTTGACCTGTATAATATAAAGTGAGAATTGTGAGATGACTCGGAGTGTTTTCTGTCCCGTGGGTTCTGTGGTCGGTGTCGTGGGTCCGGCTGCTGATTGGCCGGTGTTGACGAGCTCTCCGCCGCAGGATCTCCAGCTCCTTCTTTCCGCCGCTAACCCTGTTCTGTAATTGTTGTTGTGAAAGTGAGCGGATCGCAGATGCTCTTCCCGACGGAAGCTTCCTGTTATTGCAGGAGCGGTGGATGTTCAGCAGATGTTTGATGACTCGCAGCTCATTTCTGACAAAATGAAGTCTCTGTGTGTGTGTGACTCTTTGACCCCGAGAGACGCACAGCGGGATCAGTCTGAAATATTTCAGTTCGGGAGTAAATCGTTCAGCAGACGGAGAGAGCGACAGGAGGTCACGTCCTGGGAAACCCTTCAAAACAGACACATTTACAAAGAGTGTTTAATTACAATTTTCAAATGTCTAATTGAAAATGTAAAATTTCTAGAATTTTCTATTTTTTTCAACAACAAAATATTTTCATATTATGAATTTTTTTGTTTGTTGAAAAACTAGAAATTTTGACATTGTCAATTAGACATTTTCTTGATAGAAAGTAGGCCTAAATTATACTATAAAATATTATTTATTGAACAATAATAGCCATTACAAACATTGTATTTAACCCTCTGGGGGTCTTCGTTTAACAGTCACACTCGGGAATTTCGGGTCAAAATTGACCCAAAGGGCGGGATTCATATTTAAAAAAGAAAATCATAATTTTTTTTTTTACTTGTTTTTTTATATTTTTTATTTTCTTTTTTGGTGTTTTAAGAAAATTTCAAAACTACAAAAATGTATAATTAGTATTAATGCAATAATTATGACCAAATTTTCCCCCATTGAATATAATAGAAAAAATATTTTAAAAAAAAATATATATTTTTTTTTAAAGCTGTATTTCATTTTGGAGTCAAGCCTAGGCCTCATAAAAGCAATTTTTGAAATTAGATGGATGCCATCTCGTGGACAAACTGAGCTTTTTAAAAATGCAAAACATGTATAATCTGAATTTTTTGGTGTGTTTGTGTGTGTGTGGATGTGTCTGTTTTGCACTCTTGATGTTTTATACATTCACCCCTTCACTGTTGTGTGCTTTTTTTCAAGATCGTTGCTGATTTGTAGATTGTACGCACAAAAAAACACAGAATTTTCACATTTTTGCCAATTTCCCATTCATTTCCTATGCGGGTCATTTTTGACCCGAAGGTCCTGAGTGCGACTATTTTTTTTACGACCACTTAAGACTTTTCAAATCCTGTCCCCAAATCCTGTACCATTAAAGTCACCAAGTTTCGGACCATTCCGATGAAGCTTCATTTTTTTATTTAAACGCTTCGGGTCATTATTGACCCGAAGAACCTATCAAATACATTGTAATGTGTGTTTTGGAGGCCTTATATCTGTAACTTATATTAACAGTTCTTTAAAATACTAAAGATATTGTTCTAGAAGTGCGATCTCTGATTGTAGTCCCTGAAAACCAAAAAGTAGTGCATGAAAGTCCTGGAATATTTTCTCTTTTCTGATGATGTGGGCGGGGCTATGACCAGTCACTCAAATGAGCTCAGCCAATAGCAAACCAAAACCATCCAATCAATTCCCCACAGACACGATCAAGCCCCGCCCACATGTGTTCTTGTTCCTGAAGCATTTCCCTCGATATAGGACACACTAGAGGAGAGAAGAGCAGCGTAACTTCCCTTTCATGACGACTTTGAATCATTTTAAGATTAAAACCTTGACTGACAACGGCATCATCATCATGTATTTATATAGTTTGTCTCATCTTCTTTGCTTATATTTAACAATTTAATGGTCCATTTAAGTCATGTGACCTCCAACAATCAACACTTATTCTTATTATCTTTGTTCTTGTGTTATTGTGACTAATGCAGTAACACAGTTAGCTGCTATAAAAGTGCTAATTTAAAGAGTGTAATAATTTAGGTCAGAAAGGATGAGCTCATTCAGTAAGTCGTGTTCCTCTGAGCTCACGCTCGTTATATGGAGATCTGTAACGACAGGGCAGAGGGACAAGGCTGACCTCACGCTCGCCGCTGGGCCTGATGGGAGATTTGCTCATTGGGAAACAGAAGGACGTTAGTCAAGACTTAGATATTTGGCTTGAACGGGATGTTGGACGAGCGATCAGAATACAGTGTGACGTCCAGAAGCAGATGCCAGGTGCAAAGATAAAAATCTGTGACCGATATTGAACTAAAGGAATAAAAGTGTTATTGAGAAGCTTTCAGTCGAGTTCAACTCCAGTTTGCTTCACGGTTTATAAAGCCTGTGGAAAATAATCTGGCTTTTCCATGAATCAAGATGAGTTTTCTGACCCAGTTGGCAGATGTTCTTGTTTTAAGCACAAACTCACTTCATTTTAATACAAGAAACATGACTTAAAGTCCCCCTGAGGTGTAAATCCAGCGTTTAATGTTGTTTATGTGTGTGTGTGGTGTGTTTAATCCGCTTTAACACACACCGTGTGTGCGTTGATAAGTGGACAGCATTGCTGAGTATTTCCTCCTTAAAACTGCAGTGAACCAAAGACAGTCTCAAAAACACGCTTTGAAATCGCTGGTGTTTCTGACGTCACAAACCACCTTGGAACCAATCAGATCAGTGTGTGATCGTCAACCAGCGAGTGAGTGGAGGCGGGGCTCATTTGCATATTCATAGAACTGCGCATACTAAATGAGGAGAGGGTGTCATTCAAGATGTATTGAGACATTTTTTTTTCAAGGAAAAAACGCTTAAATATGTCATTTTGGTGATCAATGATGAGCTTTAATGAATACAGCTTTTGACCACAGGGGACTTTAATGTCTCCAGTCATCTTGCGTTTTACAGTAAACGTGTTCTGAGTTACCGTAACCCTGTGGTGCGCGTCGCTTTGGAGTTGTTGTTTTTTTGTCAATGAAACGAATGCTCTAATTTTTAGTTTGATAATCTTTTTTTTAATTTTTTTTTTTTTAAATCTCACTGTTTTTATAATCCATCCATTTATTCACTTTTTTTGAACATTGAAAATAAAACTGTAATTTCCAACTTAAACTGTGGTAAATGTCGAACGCTTTAGAGCGACAGGCTGAAGTTTGATCTTCTCACAGACGACACTCGGCAGATTATTGCTGAAGGGAAAAAAGTGAACTTAAAGTTACAAAATTTTACGTGTATTGTTATGAAAAATGCACAAAAATATTATTTTGAATTATTTTATGAAATATATTATCTCAAACTGAGAAACCAAATCCATAAATGTAAACAAGTGTGTGTTCCGCATGTGAGTCTGATATCTCAGTAAAGGAGCGTTCAGTGAGTGTGTGTGTGTGTTCGGCTGCAGTTCCACACGCGTCCACTAGAGGAAACTCTCCATTCGGCGTTTCTGAGCGCGAGCGGGACTATTCTCACAGCACCATTACACTGCTCACATCATGGCCAGGGTGTGTGTGTGTGTGTGACAAACCTTCACCGAGAGTCGTACCATTCTGATGAAGTTTTTTTTTTAACATCATTTGTGCTGGAAAAGAATTGTAGTTGCAGATAATGTTGACTGTGTTGATGATCATGTGACTCATTTCTCTAACGCAGTTCTCCTGTGTGTTTCAGTCTCTCTCCGCCGGTGAAGGCTTCAGTCCCGACCCGTCTGAACTCCACAGTCTCCGGCTCATCGACTCCAGGCTCCAGCTGCTACTTCCTGTTCATCACTTCCTGTCTGGGAGGAGCCGCTGCTCAGAACACACTCAGGTGCGGCCTGCTTTCACTGAGGTCCTCCTCACCTGTCTCGTCACTCGCATTCAGTGTTGGGTGCGACTAATGACTATTGAGGGTTAAGTTAATCACTGATGATCTCTGTAGCGTTAGTGAATCAATCAGAACTAACTTTATCTGGACAATACCTTTATTCTAGATCTGCTGTAAAGCCTAAACACTCTCTGTTACTGCAATCTCCTGTTCTGACAAAGAGACATTAAATATAAGATAAAAATGAGAATAATTTAGATAAAAAAATATGGTACTTTTAGAGGTGAATAAAATCAAAAATACCCCCAAAATAAAATAAAAACCAGCCTTCATTTGATGGAAGATTGATTTCCTTCACGCCTTTAAATATCTTTAATGTCACCCGACACTGTTCCTCATTTAGTATGCACAGTTATATGAATATGCAAATGAGCCCCGCCTCCACTCACTGGTTGTCGATCACACGTTGATCTGATTGGTTACAAGGTGGTTTGTGACGTCGCGTGTTTTTGAGACTGTCTTTGGTTCACTGCAGTTTTAAGGAGGAAATACTCAGCAATGCTGTCCACTTATCAACTTACACACGGTGTGTGTTAAAGCAGATTAAACACACCACATACACACATAAACAACATTAAACGCTGAATTTACACCACTTTAAAATTAAGACGCATTTACATGAGAAGCTAAGTGACTGAAGTCATTATATTAAGTCTAGTTTACTGAAAAATAAAGTGAGTTTGTGCTTTAAGATCAGATATCTGGCAATGGGGTCAGAGAAATACACACGTCTTCCTTCACTGACTTCTGACAAACTCATTTCATTTTTCAGTAAACTAAACTTACATCAAGATACAAGAAAAATGACTTCAGATATTGAGAATGTTTAGATATCTGGACTGGAAACCAGAGTAAGAGTGTGTGTGTGTGTGTGTGTCTGGCTCTGCTCCTGCTTCCACGTCGGCGAACACGAGATGGTGTTTGAGAGAGGAGCGCGGGTTATACACCAGTATAGCGTTTCTAAATCTTTTCACTTCCTTTGTAGTTTTAGTAATTTTGCCATTTTTTATTTCTATACACACTACCAGTCAAAAGACTAGGTTCGGTAAGATTTTTAATGTTTTTTAATGCTGTGTTTATTTGATTAAAAATACACAAAAATACAGTAAAACAGTGAAATATTATTATAATGTAAATCATCTGTTCTCTATGTGAATATATAATAAAGTGTAATTTACTCCTGTGATCAAATCAGTCATTACTCCAGTCTTCAGTGTCACATGACCCTTCAGAAATCACTCTAATATGAGGATCTGATGATCAACACACATTTATGATTATTATCAGTGTTGAACTGTTATTTCAGGATTCTTTGATGAACAGAACGTTGAAAAGAACAGCATTTATTTGAAATAGAATCTTTAAGATAATTCAGCTTTAATCACAGGAATAAATTACATTTTAAAATATTTTTTTTGTGTTTTTATTTTTAATCAAATAAACAGCGCTTTGGTGAGCAGAAGAGACGTCTCACCGATCCCAAACGCTTGACTGGTAGTGTTGCTGTAGATTATTTTTAAGTTTTTGTCGCTTCAGTGCTTCGACTTATTCCAGTTCTATTCTAGATGCACGCATTTACAGAACAAACGTGTGTTTAGGGGTTGTGAGCGGCAGACGGTGGACTTGATGAATACACACGAGTGTGACAACGAACTGCAGTCTTTCCTTCACATCCCATGAACACTTTCAGTTTCGTACCACTGAGAACAGAGAGGTGTCAATCAAAGAGACAGAGCAGGAAGTGACATCAGTGTCAGCAGGTCATCACTACAAGAGCACACACACACACACACACACACACACTACTCCTGTCCGCTTGGTCTGCACGTAACTTGGATTTATCGGCCCGTTTTAATCTTACTGTAAGTTTTATATGTGTTTGAGACTTTTGCCACACATGACTCCGAATCAAATCAACCCGAAAGTTCACTTATAATTAAATTATTCCACAAGATGTCGTTTTCCATTTGCTTTTTAGTTACTCAAAAAATGAAATCTCATGACTGTTCTTTAGGGGAGTCAGGAGGAGAACGCCGGTGACCGAGTCCTGTGGGACGCAAGATCGAGACGAGAAGAAGAGAAACGTCTGAGAGAAATCCAGCAGGAGCTGCAGATCCTGGAGGAGAGAAGCGTGAGTTCAGACCAATCATTCGACTCATTCAGACTCAGATGACTCATTTAGACCCAGACGACTCTGTTCATGAGTTCAGACCAATCATTCGACTCATTCAGACTCAGATGACTCATTTAGACCCAGACGACTCTGTTCATGAGTTCAGACCAATCATTCGACTCATTCCACTCAGACGACTCATTTAGGCCCAGACGACTCTGTTCATGAGTTCAGACCAATCATTCAACTCATTTCACTCAGACGACTCATTTAGACCCAGACGACTGTGTTCATGAGTTCAGACCAATCATTCGACTCATTCCACGCAGACGACCCATTTAGACCCAGACGACTCTGTTCGTGAGTTCAGACCAATCATTCCACTCAGACGACTCAGTTCATAAGTTCAGACCAATCATTCGACTCATTCCACGCAGACGACCCATTTAGACCCAGACGACTCAGTTCATGAGTTCAGACCAATCATTCGACTCATTCCACGCAGACGACCCATTTAGACCCAGACGACTCAGTTCATGAGTTCAGACCAATCATTCGACTCATTCCACGCAGACGACCCATTTAGACCCAGACGACTCAGTTCATGAGTTCAGACCAATCATTCGACTCATTCCACTCAGACGACTCATTTAGACCCAGACGACTCTGTTCATGAGTTCAGACCAATCATTCGACTCATTCAGACTCAGATGACTCATTTAGACCCAGAAGACTCTGTTCATGAGTTCAGACCAATCATTCGACTCATTCCACTCAGACGACTCATTTAGACCCAGACGACTCTGTTCATGAGTTCAGACCAATCATTTGACTCATTCCTCTCAGACGACTCATTTAGACCCAGACGACTCTGTTCATGAGTTCAGACCAATCATTCGACTCATTCCACTCAGACGACTCATTTAGACCCAGACGACTCTGTTCATGAGTTCAGACCAATCATTCGACTCATTCAGACTCAGACGACTCATTTAGACCCAGACGACTCTGTTCATGAGTTCAGACCAATCATTCGACTCATTCCACTCAGACGACTCATTTAGACCCAGACGACTCTGTTCATGAGTTCAGACCAATCATTCGACTCATTCCACTCAGACGACTCATTTAGACCCAGACGACTCTGTTCATGAGTTCAGACCAATCATTCGACTCATTCAGACTCAGACGACTCATTTAGACCCAGACGACTCTGTTCATGAGTTCAGACCAATCATTCGACTCATTCCACTCAGACGACTCATTTAGACCCAGACGACTCTGTTCATGAGTTCAGACCAATCATTCGACTCATTCAGACTCAGACGACTCATTTAGACCCAGACGACTCTGTTCATGAGTTCAGACCAATCATTCGACTCATTCCACTTAGACGACTCATTTAGACCCAGACGACTCAGTTCATGAGTTCAGACCAATCATTCGACTCATTCCACTCAGACGACTCATTTAGACCCAGACGACTCTGTTCATGAGTTCAGACCAATCATTCGACTCATTCAGACTCAGACGACTCATTTAGACCCAGACGACTCTGTTCATGAGTTCAGACCAATCATTCGACTCATTCCACTCAGACGACTCTGTTCATGAGTTCAGACCAATCATTCGACTCATTCCACTCAGACGACTCATTTAGACCCAGACGACTCTGGTCATGAGTTCAGACCAATCATTCAACTCATTTCACTCAGACGACTCATTTAGACCCAGGCGACTCTGTTCATGAGTTCAGACCAATCATTGCACTCAGACGACTCAGTTCATGAGTTCAGACCAATCATTCGACTCATTCCACGCAGACTACCCATTTAGACCGAGACGACTCAGTTCATGAGTTCAGACCAATCATTCGACTCATTCCACTCAGACGACTCATTTAGACCCAGACGACTCAGTTCATGAGTTCAGACCAATCATTCAACTGAGTTCACTCAGACGACTCATTTAGACCCAGACGACTCTGTTCATGAGTTCAGACCAATCATTCCACTCAGACGACTCAGTTCATGAGTTCAGACCAATCATTCGACTCATTCCACGCAGACGACCCATTTAGACCCAGACGACTCTGTTCATGAGTTCAGACCAATCATTCGACTCATTCCACTCAGACGACTCTGTTCATGAGTTCAGACAAATCATTTGACTCATTCAGACTCAGACAACTCATTTAGACCCATACGACTCTATTCATGAGTTCAGACCAATCATTCGACTCATTCAGACTCAGATGACTCATTTAGACCCAGACGACTCTGTTCATGAGTTCAGATCAATCATTCGACTCATTCAGACTCCGTTCATGAGTTCATACGACTCTTTCAGACTCAGTTCATGAGTTCATACGACTCATTCAGACTCAGCTCATGAGTTCATACAACTCATTTAGACTCAGTTAATAAGTTCATACGACTTATTTCGACTCAGGTCATGAGTTCATACTGTTTTCTCTATTTCCACTCAACTTCATAAAGGATGTTGAACTATCTCAACTCAAACTCAATATCCATAATGTGAGATAGTTCACAGATCAAGTTGTATCGAAAAATGATCTAACTAATCTCTCGGTTATTAAACCGGTCATGTGATCATCGGTCATCATTTACTCTCTCTCTCCTTCAGTGTCCTTTATCCGTGTGTCCTGATCCAAACTAGTTTATTGTTGTGTGTGAAGGTCAGAGATGATGACAGTGAATCGGCCACTGGTGAACCTTTGCTCTGTTTCGGCTCATTGCCGTCGAGGAGTCACAGAGGGTTTATAACGGAGTGTGTGTGTGAAGGTCGTCACACTGTTCACTAGTATTTCACACGCGTCTGTGAGTGTGTTCAGCCGTCGTTCACACCGCTGTAAACACTCCTCACGTGTGCACACACACACATCTGTGTGTGTCTCTGAGGGGCAAATATCTGCCAATCGAGTCAGAAAATACACCTAACTCCATTTCTCTTTTCATCTCTCCTCTCAGGCGCGGTGTGTGTCGGAGGACGAGCTGAGGAACCTCCTGCTGGAGTGTGAAGACGAGCTCCTGCGCTCTCCGGCTCCCGGCTCCGGCGCGGACACACACCCCTGGGAGAACACGGAGCGGCACGCATGACATGCGAGGAAGAATGCTCTTCTGTTTTATATTTTGCGAAATGCTTTTAAAGTTGCACAATAAGTGCATGAAAGTGTGTTTGTCATTGTGTCTCTGATGTGTTTGCCAGCGTCAGTATCTCAATCAGACTGAACAACACATGAAGTGGAAAATATAAAATGTTCCTTTTCAAAAATCAAAGCAATATGTCTTTTTATTCATATCATGAGCTTTTGATTAAACTCCCTAAAAAATGTATGGATGAAATCCATGATCTGAGCCTGACCTCGTTCTTTTCTTTCCTCATAAGTTTGTTGGAGGACCCGAGATAACCTCGAGTTACGGCTCATGAACATCACACGGACACACACTACTGTTCAAAATACATGTTTTTAGGAAATTTATTTTATCCAGCATTACATTGATCAAAAATTACAAGCGTTCTAATTCAAATAAATGCTCCTTTAAATGGATAGTTCACTTTGAAATTAATTTTTGATATGTTTTAGCTTACCTCAAGGGCATCCAAGATGTAGAAGTCTTTATTTCCACAGTATTTTCAACTTTGACATTTTTCAGTCAAACCGTTGTTGTCTATCAGTCATATAATGCAGTTTTAGAAGGTCCACCTCAAAGAGCAGAAGTCCAAATTAAACATGATTTAATGACTCGTAAATGTAAGTTCACATTGATGGCCTACACGAAACGAGCGGTTTGTGTGAGAAAACGAACAGTATATAGTTCTTACCTCTGTCGAACCGAACTGAACCTTCTCCGTCCAGACGTTACGCCGGAAGTGATCTCTCGCGCGTCTAACGTTAGTTACCTCACGCATTGTTTACACTGAGATTTCGGAAGTTTTACCTTTCACTAAACATATTTAGATATATCGAAATCGTCTTCCATTGCGATTTCCCGTATATCTAAATGTTTAGTGAAAGGTAAAACTTCCGAAATCTCCGTGTAAACAATGCGTTAAATACTAAACATATTTAGATATAGGCCTATCGAAATCGTCTTCCATGACGATTTCCCGTATATCTAAAAGTAAAAAAAAATTTCAGCGACAAGCAAAACAATGTCCGGTGTGTGTGAGGTGTTGCAGGCGGAGGGTCGTCACGCCGGTGAACTGGAGTAGTGTTCGGCATTCCCAGCATTCCTGACCTTGAAGGTGAACCGTGCGCTTGTGGATAAATGAACCCAGGATTAACTGTGAGGATACAAAAATCCTCTTTTGACCAAATTAGCCTTTATTGTGCCAATAATATTGTACCAAACCACAACCACAGACCAAAATTCACTGCATTTCTACATAAACACTGAGATAGTCATAGAGTAAAATCAGGCCTCCTGACTGTATTAAGATGAACACGTCATGGAAAGATGATTCTGGAGTTTAAAGTCACTTTACTCAAAAGTTTTTATTGTGATTTTACAAAATTATTGATAAGAATTGAACAACATTATTGAATAAAACTGGTAACAATACTGACATTGAAGCATCCATAAAAACAAAGAAAATCCTCATCAGTGTGCAAACAGTTTATACAAATTCTTCCAATGTCAGGTTACAGTTCATTATAAATTATTTAAATAGCATATATCTACACATTAAAATATATTTAAAAAAAAACATTACCAATAACTTATTTTTAAAAAGACATCAATTAGGCACAAACTATTTATATTAACAACTTTCCATTCATGTTCTACTGGGGCATCTCGTCTAAAATAAAACAATGTTGTATTATTTACAGAAGAAATGTTTCACTACATACAGTAGCTCAAACACAACACAGAACTGACTTATAAATGGCACTTGTGATGTTTGTTGAGTTCAATTATAGAACAGTGAGGTAATATGAACTGAGCTCCTCCTGGCCCGAAGGAGGCGCTCTCAACGCTCCAGTTCTGTGTTTGTTTCCGTAATAAGTGGCTCTGAGACGAGTTCTCAACACTATAAATAAACCACAGGAGTGCGCCTCTGTAATATCTCATTTAGGCTTGTTTAGAACCACAAAAGCTCTGAAGCTCGAATCTAAGACATGAACTTTAAACACAAAGATCCTTCCAGCCCTGAGAAAGACTCTATAAACAGTGAAATGAAGACTCTGTGGTTCTGATTGAAAGCAAAAGGGGTGTTTATGGAAAAACAAGCCTGGATCATTGAGTCCTGGAGATCTGGACGTCTCAACGACAAACGTTCATGCAGAAGAACATGCTTTCACGAAACCAGTCGATCCTGTTCATCCACAGTTCCTCCAGTGGGATCTCGAAGCCAGCAGAGGCTTTACTTCAGTTCATGAGCGACTGGTCCACAGCAGATCTGAGGTTACAGAAGAGCTTCCCTTTACCCACCAAACGACACGAGACAAGAAACTGACTGAGAATCCCATTGAGATTGGAGGAGACCGATGATGAGTTATAACACAAACTTAAACCGACAGAAAGCAGAAGATAGTGGGCCGTCCTTCGGGAAAACAACCATGGGGTCGTTATACATCTGCAAGAGAGTGAAAAAACACTCATGAGCTTTGCTAGAACAATATTATTCTTTAAAGGTGACATATTATGCCTCTTTTCACAAGATGTAGTACACATTCTGGGGCCACCATAGATTTATGTGTGAAATTTCAGCTCAAAATACCAGATCATTTATTACAGCTCGTCAGATTTGCCCCTTGTATAAAAACTTGTGTGTGTCCCTTTAAATGCAAATGAGCTTCTGCTCCACCTCTGTTCAGAAGAGGGCGGAGCCTTCACACAAGCTTCAGAGACTCAACACCAGCCGATCACACTGATCCAGGATCAGGAGTAACAGCAGCTTTAGCTCCGCCCACATTTCTGAACATTTGTGTAGTTGTTGTGGACTAAATGAGTTACCTCTGCATTCGTATTTGAGGTCTGAGAAGTAAACCATCTCTTGAGAGAAGACGAAGAGGCCAAGTCTTCCTCCAGCGTAGGTCGTGTCATGAACGCTTCCTGAATCAGCCATGACTTTCTTGCCCTCGTACATAATAACTCTGGAGAGAAACAAAAGAAGACGAGTGAGTAAAGCCGCTTTAGCTGTCGGTTAGTAACCAAGACCAATCTAGATCTGAGGTAATCCACACTCACCTGATGTGTCCGGTTTTGGGCCTGTGGATCAGGTGCCATCTGTAGGCAGTGTAGTCCTTCCAGCCAATGTTCTTGGGGTCGTGCCAAAGGGTGCGCACCTGCAAACGGTCCAAATAAGATGAGCGGACATTTAAAAAAAACAAAACCACATGGACATTCAGCTTGAGAATGACGCATACTTGTCCTTCCGTGTCTCCGGTGTGCCACAAAGCGTTCCTGAGATGTTCGCCGGGTCCCGTAGTGGAGTTCACGACTTTAATGGACAGTCCGGAGTAACCCTGGGCTTTGGTGGGCGTATGCGACCAGTAGGTCTGAGTGATCTGCTTCCACATCACCACATAGAAACGGGAGCTGGACTGGTAGCCAAACACAAAGCCGACGTAGTCGTCGTCACGGTCCGTGTTGATGAAGAACGTGCCGCTGAAGTCCACGGCGTTGAACTCATCATAACCTGAGGAACAAGAAGAAGAACGTTAAAGGATGATTTACTCTACGTCTTCCATGATGTTCATGTGTTTTTCTTCAGTGGAAAAGAAGATTTTTGAGGAAATAATTCCAGGATTTTGACTCCAACGGGTCCAGATGTGAGTTTCAGTGCAGCTTCAAAGTCTCGACACGATCCAGCCGAGGAATACGAGACAAACCATTATTTATTGAAGAAAGAAACACATGGACATCTTGGATGACGTCGGGGAGAGTAAATTACTACTTCTCCTTTAACGCACTGATGTAGAAGAACATGTTCATCGCTCTCAAGCTCTTACCGACAGCAATGCCGGGATCACAGTTGACGGTCTGCAGAAGCTCTTTGCCCTGGTGACGGACGACCCAGTTGGGGTCAATTTGGGAAGTTCCAGTGGGATCGAGGGGAACCATCTGGAATCTGCGGAAATCTGTTTCACTGATGGCAAAGTTCTCCGGGCAAACATCGAAAATATCTGGCACGTTATCTTGGTCAAAGTCGTCCTTGCAAACGTCACCTCGGCCATCACCTGGAACGGAGAAAAGAAGGTTATTCTGGCACGAATTTGGATTATACGGAACATGAACTGAAATCCACGCCAGTGTGTTCGACTCACCGTCCGAATCCAGCTGATCAGGGTTGAAGGCCAGTCTGCAGTTGTCTTTGTCGTCAGGTACGCCATCGTTGTCGTCGTCATGATCGCAGGCGTCTCCTTTGCCGTCCTTGTCGTGGTCGGCCTGGTTGGCGTTGGGGATGTAGGGGCAGTTGTCGAGGTTGTTCTGATGTCCATCCTCATCGATGTCTTGGTTGCTGTCACACTTGTCTCCAACGTTGTCAGAGTCAGAGTCAATCTGTGACATCACATCGATTAACGCCAAGTCAAATCACATTTATTAATATAGCACTACGCAAGCCAATGGCGGCAAAGGTGAAAATGCAAGCCTTCATCATCTGCTGGTCATGGTTTTAAACTCACCTGGTCAGGGTTGTGCTCCAGAGGGCAGTTGTCACAGTGGTCGCCGACTCCGTCCTGGTCGGTGTCTCTCTGGTCAGTGTTGTACACGTATGGACAGTTGTCCTTCTCATTCAGAATGCCTGGAGAAATCAATTCCAGTGTCACACCAATGATTCGTAACAGTGGTTTCTATGTCCTTCGTGAGGGCCAGAGTCACTCACCGTCTCCATCGATGTCTATGGCACACGCGTCACCCTCGCCGTTGCTGTCGGTGTCGGTCTGCTCTGGATTACTGTCGTACGGGCAGTTATCGCATCGGTCGCCAACTTGATCGTGGTCCTGGTCGTACTGTCTTGGGTTGAAGATGAACGGGCAATTGTCCTGTAAGATCCAGCCAAGTCAGAGATGAAAACAGAAAGATAGGAAAACATCTGGATCCGTTCTCTCCCTCCCCGGCAATTTTATAAATACTTCCACAAAGCACTAAAATGAATGTCTTAAGTGATATGCCATGGACGTTTGGGACACAGCTGTGAAGGAATCCAGCGTTTGGCTGCGAGACGCCGACTGTTTGTTTGGCTGAATTATGGATGTTAAACCAAGGGATCCAACAGAAGCCAGCACAAAAACGCTTTATTTATCTGCTACTGGCTCTCTCTTTTGTTCACTCTGTTCTTTCTTTTCAAGTCAGTAACATGCTATTTCTAAATGCTTTTGCAGAAGAAGAATGTGTTTACGACTTACCCCGTCATCAGGGATCCCATCATTGTCATCATCACTGTCACAAGCATCTCCAGTTCCATCTTTGTCATAGTCTTCTTGCCCAGAGTTGGGAAGGTCAGGACAGTTATCCTAAAATACGAGAATACGTGTTGATGAAGATTTTATAACCTCGTCTTATAACGGGATACGGTAAGGAACGTCCGCGTACCTTCTTGCAGTGGTAGGTGGCGTTTTCCACACAGGGGAGGTCCGTGTTTGGCCAGCCGTCCAGGTCTGGGTCTTCTCCGCAGATGTAACCGTTCCCAGCATAGCCTGGTTTACACTCGCAGCGGTACATGATGTCGGAGAAGATTCCCAGGTAAATGCAGTTGGCATTCTTATTACAGTCATGGCTGCTGTCCGCACATGGGTTTCTAGGTGTGCAGACCTGGAAGAAAGTCGAGTTTATGGAGGAGGTTAGCACTTCCTGAAACAAGGAAGACTTGTCCCTTCCCATTGTTTAAGATTGCTCAAACCTGTTTATTGGCGACGGCTTGCTCTGTTCCCCGGCCGAAGGGCTGCTGTCCGGAGTAGCGCGGTGGGCAGGGCAGGCAGTTGTAGCCCGGTTCTGTGTTCTCGCACTGATGGACTCCATTGAGCACAAAACAGGCATCGGGAACTTCTTTGCACTGCAGAGACCAAAGAGCATTTAGAAACACCACTATCTCCATTTAGAAGTGTCCAACTCATGGGCATGACAGTCTCACCTCATCAATGTCTTGACAGTGGACTCCGTCCCCACGGTACCCCTCCGGACACTCGCCGCACTTCCAGGAGCCGTCGGGGAAGCTGGTGCATTTGGCGCCGGCGAAGCACGGGTTGGAGAGACATCCATCTGTTCATGATAGAGTGGAAGTCTGTTATTTTAGTGCTACAAGAATCTTTGGCTTGATCCTTAAAGGTGACATATTATGCCCCTTTTCACAAGATAGAAGTCCCCACAATGTGAAGTTTCAGATCATTTATTATATCTTGTCAAATTTGCCCCTTTTTTGGAGATGGTCCTCACTGCGGAACATGAAATCCATGGGGAGGAGTCGGATCCAGATCCAACTCCTCCCACCTTACATACACCTAAACCTAACCAACTCCGCCCCCTGATCCCTAAACCCAACCCTAATCCAACCCATCTCCACCCCTTGGATCGTGATCCGACTCCTCCCCGTGGATCTCATGTTCTGCATTGAGGTGCTACTGCTTTTTTGGGTGAAGAAAAACATGCCAAAGGACCTGATTATAGCACTTAAACATGTAAAATGTCCGATTTGTATGATATGTCCCCTTTAACAGTGAAGCATGTCTCACCAACGGGACACGACTGGGCGTTGCACATCCGGCTTCCTTTGGAGTCGCCCAGGCATTCTTTTCCACCGTGTTTGGGAGCCGGGCTGTTGCACAAACGGTGTCTGCGCTGAAGTCCTCCACCACACGTGACGGAGCAAGAGTCCCATGGTGACCAGGGTCCCCAACCTCCATTCACTGAGACACGGAGAAATGCGTTGCAGTGTCAATTGGGATTTCAGGTTAAATCCTCCAGCAGTTAGGGTTAGGGTTACACTCACCGGGACACGACGGCTTCTGGCACGGCTCGGTCTGCCGGCCATCTCCCTCGCAGTCTTCGCCCCCCATCTGAGGCGTTGGGGAGTTGCACAGGCGGATGCGAGTGATGACACCCTCTCCACACGTCACGGAGCAGGAAGACCAGGGAGACCAGTGGCTCCAGCCCCCATTCTGCTTGACTGCATGAACACAGCAGGAAGTGTTAAACACAGGCATGTATTGGCACAGGTCTTACATGACATGAATGATGACCAGTGACGGATGCCAGGTTCAACTCACATCGTTTGTCGCATTCTTGCGTGTAACAGTCTCTCGTCTGGACGGACGTGCCATCACAGTTGCTGTTGATTCGGTCACAAGAGCGTCCACGCTGCTGAACGCCTCGTCCACAGGTCACCGAACAATGGGTCCATTCGGACCAGGGCGACCAGCCATCTTCTGCACCCGCGTCACTCGCTAGAGGAAGAGAACCAGAGAACGGGACACCAGATGAGCTCAACGAGTCGTGTGCAAATGAACGGCCAGAACACATTAAGAGTTTCTGTTTGTGTTAGCGGATCCTGAGTTAATAACTAATGATCTTTACAACGGAAGTGAATCAATCAGAACTAACTTTATCTGGACAGTAACTTTATTCTAGATCTGCTGTAAACACTCTCTGTGACTGTAATCTCCTGTTAGCACTGTAAAGCTGCTGTGAACTCTAGATTGTTAAAGCGCTGAATAGATGGAGATGAGTAGACTCACGTGTTCCACAGCGAGGGCAACATTCGCCATCCGGGACCGTGGCGTTGGCGCAGGGCATGAGCGGGCAGGAGATTTCACGACACACAGTGGCCGAGTTCTGTGAAATATTTGAAGCAAGTTTAATGGGACGATCCCAACAGCTGCACATAGTGGATGAGAAATAAACGACAATAAACAGTGACCCCTGGGAGATCTTGTGGTGATATAAACTCTGAGCGGGCAGCAGGGAACACATTTCACCGGACTTACAAAGCGTTTTTATGTGGCCAACATGAGGGTGGAGAATACAGACTGAGTCAGCGGCCACAACCGCACACGCGCACACACACACACACACACACACACACACACACCCATGATGGTCTCACCGGAAACCACAGTCAGCGGGTATCACTCGGCAATTAAAACATTCCTGAATCTCAGCCATTTAGATGCATACAGATTGAGAGCAAGACTTCTAGCACCTGTTTCTGTTCTCCCAACACTTTCCACCAGAGCTTTTAACTTAGTCAACCTTGGCCAAAATCCCACATAAAGGAGTAGTTCATTTTCAAATGAAAATCACCCCATGATTTACTCTCCCTCAAGCCTATATGACTTTCTTCTTTCAGACGAATACAATCAGAGTTATTCAAAAATATCCTGGCTCTTCCAAGCTTTATAATGGCAGTGGATTGCTGTTTCTGTTTTGAAGTCCATAAAAGTGAATCTATGAATCATAAAAGTGAATCTATCCATCAAAAAAGTGCATCTGTCCATCATAAAAGTGCATCTATCCATCATAAAAGTGCATCTATCCATCATTAAAGTGCATCTGTCCATCATAAAAGTGCATCTATCCATCATAAAAGTGCATCTGTCCATCATAAAAGTGCATCTGTCCATCATAAAAGTGCATCTGTCCATCATAAAAGTGCATCTATCCATCATAAAAGTGCATCTGTCCATCATAAAAGCGCATCTGTCCATCATAAAAGTGCATCTGTCCATCATAAAAGCGCATCTGTCCATCATAAAAGTGCATCTGTCCATCATAAAAGTGCATCTGTCCATCATAAAAGTGCATCTATCCATCATAAAAGTGCATCTGTCCATCATAAAAGCGCATCTGTCCATCATAAAAGTGCATCTGTCCATCATAAAAGCGCATCTGTCCATCATAAAAGTGCATCTGTCCATCATAAAAGTGCATCTATCATCATAAAAGTGCATCTATTCATCATAAAAGTGCATCTATCATCATAAAAGTGCATCTATCCATCATAAAAGTGCATCTATCCATCATAAAAGTGCATCTCTCCATCATAAAAGTGCATCTATCCATCATAAAAGTGCATCTCTCCATCATAAAAGTGCATCTATCCATCATTAAAGTGCATCTGTCCATCATAAAAGTGCATCATAAAGTGCATCTGTCCATCATAAAAGTGCATCGTTGTATTCAACAATTCGTCTGAAAGAATAATGACATACATACTTGAGGGTGGGATAATTGTCATGTTTGGGTGGACTATCCTTTTAACCGCCTGGTCTGCCCAGTAACCAGTCCTACCAGTATAAAGTAAGTGAAAGCACAGTTGAAGAGAGAGAGCTGTACCTGACATGTGCAGTGTGTGCAGCTGTCCACCGTCCACTCGCTTCTGTCTCCGTACACAATCCCGTTGTGCAGACAAACGCCTTTGTGGATTTGGATCTGGTTCATGATTAAGCTGTTGTCTGCTGTCTGGAAGAGCACAGAGAAGCTGCCATTAGAGAGGACTTGATGAAGAGATATCTGGCGGAGAGACTCAAGCATAAACATCAACAGCTGGTTCTGATCCTCACCACTTGGCGGAGCTCGTTGGACAACTGCTTGACCACCACACCGAGGCCCTTGAGCTCCGAGAACATGCTGGTCAGGTCGTCGCAGGAGAAGCCGCAGATGTCCTGCAGATCTGAAGGGGAAAGCGTTCTGACGTTAAAGACATGACATCACAAACGCATCACATCACAAACGCATGAGGGTCAGCTGACCTTTAGACTTGTGTCCGGTGTAGTCCGTGCGGATGGCCGCACTCGATCCGTTCACCGAGTTCTCAAAGCGCATGACGTCCGTGATGAAGGGAGCTGTCGAGATATGAACTGAGTGGTAAGCTTTAATACAATATTCAGATTTTCACACACTAACATAAAATAAAAGATTGTGTTTACATAATATGTGTGTGTGTATAATTATTTAGTTACAAACATGCGTGTATATAATTAAGAACATGTTGATATTTATATATAAATATGTACATAGAAATATTTCTTATTTTTTATTTTGGTTGTGATTAATAATTGCCCAGCACAACTTTATTTTTATTCATTTAAATTTAAGCATTTATAACATTTTATAAGTTCTTGCTTTCCCTGGGAATCGAACCCATGACCCACTATCGCCATACGCCATCTGAACTACAGGAAAGTCAAATCTGAAGTCAAAGTCAAGGACAAGTCAAATCTGACATTTTTCCAATATGAAATCAAATAAACAGAGTTTTTATAATCTAATTTGATATCATTCACAAAGTTGCAGACTTACAGCTCCCGCATCCTCTATTGCGTAAAATCGCGTCCAGCGTCGTTCCGAACACAAACCGCACATTCTGGAGAACTCCCTGAAGAAACGGGATAAAGGTCAAAGGTCGTAAGTAGCATGGCAACTATAAGTCAACTTATTCTACGAACACCCAACAGTCTACTCTATTAATAATAATACATTTAATTTGTGGTGCGCCTTCCTCAAACTCTAAGCGCTACCGCACAGAACAAAATACTTTATATGAGAGTTGTACTCTAACACTCTATTGAGAGTTAGTTGACACGTAGTTACTAATAGTTAGTAGAATGTCTAAAGTGGACTATCGGGAAAAGAACAACAACAGTTATTACACGAAACATTCAGAAAGAAACTGTAAAATTGCTATTTGCTTTCGCGCGTCTTTACGCGTTTCCAAACTCCTCATTAGAGGAAGAAAATACGCATAAGATGGAAAATGAATAACTAAACAATAACCACGCGGCTCTGATGGACCAAAACACAGGCGTTCCTCACCATGAAGCGGTCTGATTTGGCGGCTCCTTTAGCGATCCTCAGGCTGGCGGTGTCCGCGCTCTCCGGGCTCAGGATCTGCTGGATCGGAACATCGAGTTCTTGCGTGTTGATTTCCTCGCAGCCCACATAAACCTGAGCCCGATCCTCCTGCACGAACACCGTGATGTTCCTCCAGTGCCCGTTCGCCACACTCACGTCCTCGACGGAGACCACATGCTGTCCGCTCGCGGTCCGGTACACCAGATCCAGCGTGTCGGCTTTCCCGTTGGATATGATCTCAAACACGGACCCGGTTCCGTCGGTCCTCTCCACGGAGATCAGGCTTCCCCGTGTGCGCTTGGCTTGCTTGAGGTTCGCGGTGAAGATGAAGCCTCTCTCGCTCTGGATGGAGTCGATCAGGTCCCGGAAGGAGAGCTCGGGCACGGAGGGGATCAGGTTCGGGTTCAGGATCTTGTACGCGGGACTGTTTGGATCGGGTCCCTTCACTAAACTCACCCCGTGGTGCTTCTTGTGCAGATTCGAGAGCTCGAACAGGTCGAACACGGAATCATCGTCCGGCATTTCTGCGGATTCGGAGACACGTGAGCGCGCACGCATTTAAAATTATACAGTTATACAGCGCTTTTACAACACAGAGTGTGTGTTCAGTGTGTGTGTGTGTTCAGTGTGTTCTCACCTGCATGTCTGCTCTCGGAACTCCACAATAACAGACACAGAACGAGTCCTCTCAGAGTCATGATGCTGGAGATTAAACACTCCTGTAGAGACACACACTCTACTGATGCAGAAACAGTCTCTCTGAGAGAGTGTGTGTGTTGGAGAATGGAGATGTTCTGCTCTTCTGCGCGCGAGAGACGCTATTTAAGTCATCTCACACATTCTTCAGCCGCTGTCTCGACCAATCAGCGTTCAGATCGCGTCTTCAACATCAGGAGGAAAAAATGTACATTCCACAGCAAACTTTCCATCAGGCAACAATCTGCCACACACACACACACACGACCTATATATATATAACCTTACACTAGCGTAAAAAAATGAGTCTGGAAAATGTTATGGTTCTGAAAAAGTCTCTTCTGCTCACTAAAGCTGCGTTTATGTAATAAAAAACTGTAATATTGTGAAATATGATTATAATGTAAATCATCTGTTCAGTAAAGTGTAATTTATTCCTGTGATCAAATCAATCATTACTCCAGTCTTCAGAGTCACATGACCCTTCAGAAATCACTCTAATATGAGGATCTGATGATCAACAAGCACTTATGATTATTATCAGTGTTTAAAACAGTTTTATATTTTTGTGGAAACTGATCAATTTTTTTTTTTCAGGATTGTTTGATGAACATATCTTTTGTAACATTATAACTGTCTTTACTCTTCTTCATTCTGTTTGATCATAAATCAGTTGTTATGAGAGAGTCCATTAGAATCCATCAGGATTTCATCCATTCTCAGGTTTTAAAGATTTACAGATTTGGATTGGATGGTATTTCCTGTTTAGTCGTCATATCAGTCAAATGTATTATTTAGCAATAATCACACAGATTAAGTGTCTAAAAGAAGTCTAGAAATCTAAATGTTTTTGGTCTTTAAGATAAACTGATTCTAATGCTGTGTGTCTGTCTGTGTGTGTGTGTGTGTGTGTGTGTGTGTGTGAGAGAGAGAGAGAGAGAGAAAGTGAGTGAGTGTACTGTATGTTTGTGTGCATGTGTGTGTGTGTGTGTGTGTGTGTGTGTGTGTGTGAGAGAGAGAGAGAGAGAGAGAGAAAGTGAGTGAGTGTACTGTATGTTTGTGTGCATGTGTGTGTGTGTGTGTGTGTGTGTGTGTGTGAGTGAGTGCGTGTATGTGTATGTGTTTGTGTGTCTGTCTGTGCGCGGTTGTGTGTGTGTGTGTGTGTGTGTGTGTGAACGCCCAGGAAAGATCTCAAACACTACAGTGATGTGGTCATGGCTGATAGAGTGATCAGTGTGTGATAGTGATGATGATGATGGCACAGAAACACACACTCTTCTGAAGGCTCGACAGAACCTGATGTCACTGTTTCCAGTCCATGCTCAGATACACAGAGACCGAACACTCTCTCTCACACACACACACACACACAATAGCGTTCCAGACACACAGATGAGGAGCAGAAACACGTTCCAGTATCTCTGTGCTTCATCACTACAGGACTGTGTGTGTCAGTTCCTGTAATACACGGATACACAGACAAGTGCCATACGACATATCAAAGCAAAGAAACACTGACACACACACACACACAGTGCAAAAAATGTTTGTATTATTTAAAGGGGTCATGAACTGGCTTTTTAAATGGTATTATATTGTTGTCTGAGGTCAACTTCTGACGTTCGCTTGGTTTTTGCATTCAAAAACATCAAAATGAATAAGTAATGGTCTATTTTCTACCCTAGTTTTGACCCTAGCTGAGAAACACTGGGTTTTTATGGGCGTCTCGCACTGAAGACTTGGAAGTAAACGCCCACTGCTGTGAGTGGACAATAGTTTTGTATATTATAATGAGTTTCGACTCACCCGTCGGTGCACTTGGGGGAAATTGTTTTGAAAACGTCCAATGTTGTAAAATGGCCGCCGGAATGATTCGCCCATCCATGTTGGACCCAGAGTCCGTGTGATCGTCTCCGAGTCTCAGTGCTCGACTGCAGGTGTGGATCGAGTCGTCTGGGGGGTGTCACATGATTTATCATCTTACACTGAACTTTAATATCTGATGTTTGTCCATCCAGTCAAACTCACCACGATTAAATCAAGTCCCACCATTCAGAGAAACAGTGAAGATTTTACTGTACAGTTTTGAGTGCTGATGCTTTAAACACTGCAAAACTTGTTCTTCGTCAGTGTTTCTGTTTTATTTTCCAGCACAAATATCTAAACATTCTTAAATAAAGACACATTTACTGGAGAAGCAATGACTGAAGATATTAAGAAATTAAATGCATTAAAATGAAGTGAGGTTGTGCTTAAATCTGCAGAAAAAAAACATCATTTAAAACTGTTTTTATTTTATTTTTAAAGACAGTATCTTCTTTCAAGTGGCTTCTTATCTTGATTTAAGAATGTTTAGAATGAAAACAAGACATGATATTTGGGTAACACTTTAGAATACGGTTCCTTCATTAATGAATAACTACACAAGAACTAATGAGTAACACAATATTAACAATCTAGTAACTATTATTAACTAACAAGATACTCTGATTAACGAACTACTAAGTAATAGCGCACAGACGAAAGTGGTAGTTCACTAATAAGTAATCAATAACTACTATTTTTTTAATACTTCCCAGAGAACTACTGAAAAATATTTTTAATAATCTAGTAACTACTATTAACTAAAAGAAACTCTTATTAACGAATTAGTAAGTAATAGCTCACAGATGAAAGTGTTACTAGATACTTCTGTGGGAATTACTAATTATTTGGATCCGTATTATAAAGTGAAGATCATTGGAACTAACTAGTAATTACTCAAGTGTTACTAAAGACATTTTCTAAAAGTTACTAAAAGTTCACCAAAAATCTCAAACATTTGCACAAATCATGACTAGATCATGTAGTAACACTTGAGTCATCATTACTAGTTAGTTCCAATGATCTTCACTTTATAATACGGATCCAAATAATTAGTAATTCCCACAGAAGTATCTAGTAACACTTTCATCTGTGAGCTATTACTTACTAATTTGTTAAAAAGAGTTTCTTTTAGTTAATAGTAGTTACTAGATTGTTAATAAACTTTTTCAGTAGTTCTCTGGGAAGTATTAAAAAATAGTAGTTATTGATTACTTAATAGTGAACTACCACTTTCGTCTGTGCGCTATTACTTAGTAGTTCGTTAATCAGAGTATCTTGTTAGTTAATAATAGTTACTAGATTGTTAATATTGTGTTACTCATTAGTTCTTGTGTAGTTATTCATTAACGAAGGAACTGTATTCTAAAGTGTTACCGATATTTGCAGTGTATGCTCTTCAGATTAATGCTCTCCTTCAGTATAACATCGAACTAAGTAAAAGCTCATCTTTCAACAGCTCTAAACTCAGATGTCAGTGGCAACCCAATGTGATCTCAAACACTTTTAAACAACCGTCTTGACCTCTCACCTCGCTCGTCACCGCTCAGGTCGAAGCTTGTGATCAGGGGATGACGTCGGGATCTGATGCCTTCGGGCCGGGAACTTTACATCATCTCGTGAGTCAGAGGCTTCGGCTCTCGCTGTCAAGCTCCAACAGTTCTTCTGAAATCAGTTCCTGGAGACACTCAACATGATTTTAATATGACACTTAATGACAGAGATGTGCAGATTATCTTCCTGGAATGATGCGAGTTCTTGAATTTGCATACCGCGGCTCTTTATTTCTCGAACTTAATAGGCGGTTTAGCTGATGTGCTTCGACAAACACGGCCTGACTGATCAACACATGCCAACTTTCACATTTCACTGACGAAAAGCAAATATTATGTGTTCATCAGAAATACACTATAAAACAAACGCTGGCATCTGAATGAATAAATCCATTTATTTTGGCAAATTTCCTTGATTTGCTCAGAACCTGTTCAGTCACGAAGACCGTACTTTAACTAGTCACTTCATGCAGTTACTCTGAAGTTTGCAGTAAGTTGATGAAACATTACCGGCAGGGGGAACTCATCCTCATCCTCATCCTCGTGACCTTGCACTTGACCTTCCAGGAACGACATCTCCAAAACCTGTACTGTATCTGTGCTTAATGCATCTGGATGACAAATGTATGATAATCAGAGAAGGATGATGCGTTTGAAACAGATCGGTGTGATCGGACTGAAGCTGTCAGACGCACAAAAGCTTCTGTGAGAGATGGAGATTAATGAGGCCGAAACGTGCTTTCAACGCAGCTTTACAGAAAGTAATGTATCGCTGACTCAGACACACGTCATTTAGAGATTTAAAATGTTTCGGGTTTTGCTAAAGTTAATAAAAAGTGATTCTCACACAGTGAAAGGAATGAAAATATGACCAGTTGTTGCAGCTGAAAAGTCAGACAAAGTTTGGAAAGTAATTAAGGCTAATTTGGATAATGGACAGTTCTCAAAAGGCATCTAAAGGCTGTATTTGAAGAGTTCAGGTGCAAAAGCCTCTAAATGCCATTTGAAATTTTCTTCTTTAATGATGATTTTTATCAAACTTGTATATTTAAGTTCAGTAATTTCACTTAAATAACAATTAATAGGTAATTATCATTGCCATTTAAGTGAAATTACTGAACTTAAATATACAAGTTTGATAAAAATCATCATTAAAGAAGAAAATTTCAAATGGCATTTAGAGGCTTTTGCATCTGAACTCTTCATTTACACTGCAGGTCTTGATGCCCAAATCCGATTTTTTTGACGACCTGCTTACATCATCTTTTAAAAGTGGCCCATATCCAATTTTTGCATTCACACATTCACTGCTGAAACTACCAAATGCAGACGTTCTGATGGTTCTGAACTGGGAAATTAAGCAAAACAGCACGAAATTCAATGGATGCGAATAAAATTATCCAGTGTTTTCCTTCCACAATATTTCAATAAGTCATCAAAACATTGGTCTCGTACGGCGGAGAAAAAAGAGGAGAGGCTCTGGCCATGAGCACTTAAAACGATGCCTCATATCTCGTGAAATGTCTTCAAAAACGGATTTATTTCTGTAACAACCCTGCATTTTCGCCTGCACTCTTCACCCCAAACACTCAAAAGACATGAAACCTCCGCATTGCTCCACTGTGTGTCTCCTTTCTTCCCTCGCGCCTATAATCGCGCAGTTTTTAATGACGCATGACTCGCATTTACTGGGGAATATCCGATTTTTCTGCTTACATGGCACACGCAAATGCACGTATCTGATTCATATCCGATTTATTAGCACATATGAATGAGGCCTGAATCCGATCTGAGAAAATCGGAATCCATGCGTTTTTTCCTGCTTAAACGTTCACCCGTCAAATCCGATCTGTGCCACATGAGAGGAAAAAATTGGATTTGGGTCACTTGAACCATGCAGTGTAAACGAGGCCAATGAAGATACTGTATAATCTGTTGTTTTAACCCTTGTGCTGCATTAGATTTTTAACACCGTTGAGTGCATTAAGGACCAAAAATGGCCACATATTAAACATTGCCTAAAATATTATATATTATTATTATTTTCCACTTTTACCAAGTTAAATCTTTTAACCAGCATCAGTCCTCATCATAACTACCAAAAATGTATTCAATTTCAGGATTTTAACCCTTTAATTACCAGTTTTGTTTGCGAAACCATCAATTTGTATAAGAGGAAAAAACACAAAAATTCAATTATTTTCAATAAACTAAATGCAAAGAGAAAACTTTAGATTTGGATTATCACAGTCCCACTTTGCAAAAAATCCCACTTAGCGCGTTAGAGACCAAAAATGGCCACCTATTAAACATTGCCTATTGCCTAAAATAAGGTGCATTTCCACCCATAGGGAATAAATATGTAGTGACATCATCTGGTGGAATACACTATATAATGCAAATATAATGCTTTTGCTTCAAAATGAAAGGATGTTTGTGCAAAAATCATGTTTCATGTATTACTGACAGCCTCAGATTTAAACAACGTTTTAATGGGTTTCAATGGGCCATTTTTGGTCTTTATGGTGCTGAGTGTTACTATTTGATCTACACAGTGTGTGTTATACATATTTTGCAAAATGGGATCACATTTTTTACATGTATCCAAAAAGTCACAATTTTGCCAAATTTCATACCATTTGCATTAAAACAGCCAAAATGGTCAAAGAAATTAAACTGCAAAAGACCAAAAATGTCCCTAATGCAGCATAAGGGTTAAGTAAAAAATAGCCAGTTGTCCAAGAAACATTTCTACCTTTAATTAGAAGTCTTTAAATCAAACGTGACACTCATTAAACGTCTCCAGTTCAGATACGTCATGTGTTTTAGCTCGAGCACACCTGGTGCAGCTCATGAAGCCCTTGATTACGGACACAACACAGTTTAGTCCTGTTACCAGGGATTTTATTCTAATACTTTTAAAACTGCAGAAGTCATTTAAAGTTGCATTTTCAGTTAAATTTGGGGAAACCACTTTGTTATGTTGAGCAATTTCAATCACTGTTTGATTTGTTCATCGCACACAGTCTGTACATGTCGCCAATTGACCTGATTCACAATGGAGTCGAATAATTAAATAATTTGTAAATGCTGGTAAAGATTTTGGAAGTACTTTAAACAGGCAACTTCTGGAAAAAATAGTTGGATGCATTTTCTCTTTTTATCTCACACAGAGTCCAGATAACTGTGACTCATATCATCTAAAACTCCCACATCCGAGTCCATTCTGTGTGTTATGGTGAAATCCCGAACAGAGACGCTGGGTTTGGGGTGAATCCCGAGGATCATGGGTTTAGTTCTGAATCCCTGGAATGCCCGATTTCAGCCACATCCAGCGCATCAGAATCACAGTCAGGAAACAAAGACACACACAGAATCAGAGAGATCACAGAAATCAAATTCATGTGGATCACAGGATAGGAATGCGCTTCATCCCATGGGATCTGGGAAAAACTTCTGATTGGAGAATCGAATCCCACTTGAGGAAAAGGTAGAGCAGTGGATTTCCCAGTTCCTGATCCGTCTCCATGTATGGGCAGTCCCAAACTGATTCAGAAGTCTGTCCGGCGAGCACATCTGTGCGTCTTACGTCAGCGATCCGCTGTTTATACAGCTCTGTGCTTTATGAACCAGTTTCACAGTCTCACCCATGCCAACATTTCCAGCTTAAAAGCTTTTCAATCAAAATACATGAATAAACACTAAAGAAATGATCAATGTAAGTCTTAACTGGAGATAAATGTAAAGAGCGTCTCCACCGAGAGGTCAAAGGTTGTTGTGATTCACTCACTGTATATGTCTCGTCCATAAGATCGCAGCTGTTTCTGTTGCTCAATATTAAAACTCACGACAATCCTCAGACAACGCCGCTCTTTCCCACAACATCATGAAGATCTTACACTTGACTGTAAATACCGTCAAGTGAAGCCACCACATCCCAAAGATGCTCTATTGGGTTGAGATCTGGTGACTGTGGCGGCCATTTTACTACAGTCAACTCATTGACATGTTCAAGAAACCAATTTGAAATGATTCTAGCTTTGTGACGTGGCCTTAGCCATCAGAGGATGGGGACATGGTGGCCATAAAGGTATGGACATGGTCAGAAACAATGCTCAGGTCGGCCGTGGCATTTAAACGATGCCCGATTGGCACTAAGGGGTCTAAAGTGTGCCAAGAAAACATCCATTACACCACCACCACCAGCCTGACCAGTGGGAACAAGGCATGATGATCCATGTTCTCATTCTGTTTACGCCAAATTCTGACTCTACCATCTGAATGTCGAGACTCATCAGACCAGGCAACATTATTCCAGTCTTCAACTGTCCAATTTTGCAAATTGCTGCCTCTTTTCCCTATGTGTAGTGGAGATGAGTGGTACCCGGTGGGGTCTTCTGCTGTTCAAGGTTGTGTGTGTTGTCTGCATACCTCGGTTGTAACGAGTGGTTATTTCAGTCAAAGTTGCTCTTCTATCAGCTTGAATCAGTCGACCTCTGACCTCTCGCATCATCAATGCATTTTGGCCCACAGGACTGACCCATACTGGATATTTTTCCCTTTTCACTCCATTCTTTGTAAACCCTAGAAATGGTTGTGTGTGAAAATCCCAGTAACTGAGCAGATTGTGAAATACTCAGACCACGCCACACTCAAAACTGCTTAAATCCCCTTTCTTTCCCATTCTGACATTCAGTTTGGAGTTCAGGAGACCACACCCCTAAATGCACTGAAGACACTGCCATGTGATTGGCTGATTAGATATGTTAATGAGAACGGCCTCCTGATCACACGGCTGAGCTTGTGAGAAATGTTCTCTGGAAACATAACTTCCTGAGTTATTGATCATGTCTGATGACGTAGCGTGTGTTGAAAGACATTCCTGCTGCTGTAGTGTGTGTGTGTGTGTGTGATGGACGGCTTACCGTAACCCAGCTGTGGAGGAGAGTCGTAAAGCCCGGAGCATTCCTCATATTCCTCATATCCCGGCGTGTTCCAGTAAAGCCGGTCCGAGTCGCTGGACGAGCTTCACGTGTTTCCAATGATCCCGTTCCTCCAGTTTATCTGCGTTTCTGATCCACTCCACCACTGCGGAGAAAACACACACATGTGGAACACAGTATACAGATGTTTGACTCAAGAGACTCCAATAATGATCAATAATTTATCAAAACAAAACAAAAACATGCGGAATATATAATACAAGTTTGATATACTGACCAAAATGAATTAGGCTATCATTAATTATACGAAAGGAAAACATGTGAAAATATGAGTTTGATACATAACTGATGAATCATCAGCAGGATCACACACACTCATTAATGCGACACATCCGATGCAGTCACACACACACACACACACACAGCATTTCTGAAGGAACTGAAAACACAACAAGATCCAGCTTTGAGTCTGGATTCGGGCCAAATAATGACCTAGACGAGATTTAACACAGTTTATTTATTTACACTCTCTCTCTCTCTGGCTTTAAACAGTCGTTCATTACAGCAGATCTGTGTGTGAGAGAGAGAAAGAGGAGAGAGAGGGACTACTGTATGATGTGTGTGTGTGTGTGTGTGTGTGTGTGAACAGAAAGTGTAATCAGATCCAGAGTGATGTCTGAACGTGATCCAGAACTATAGAGTCTGATGTTTAACACAGTTTCTAGAAGAGCACGACCTTTGACCTGGGTCTGAGACGTTCTTCCTCAGAGTTTCTGTCTCGGTTTACAAACATCGAAACATCCTGAAGATATTAAGATATTACTGTAAATGCATTAAAATGAGTGTGTAGATGTGTGCAGATGTGTGTGTTAAGATGTGTGTGTGTAGATTCACTGAACTCACACTGACTGTCTGAGCGGGAGCGTGAGTGGAAAACACAGATCCTCAAAGCAGATGTGTGTGTAGATGTGTGTAGATGTGTGTGTAGATGTGCGCAGATGTGTGTGTAGATGTTCCTCGCGTTTTCTTTTACATGGAAAACTG